AGACTTTTCATATCTGNGGGGGGGGGGGGCACTTGCTTCCAAATAAAGAAGAAAACCATTCCCATAAACCTTTAACAAAAGAGCAAGAGATCAATAAATGATAACAATTCTCACCATCAACCTTACAAAGATGGCACTAGGTATTGATTCTTTTCAAATAGGCTTCCCCACAAAAACAACCAACCCTTGGTGGAATAGGTTTGCTCCATGCCTCTTTAACAGGGAAAGGTAGAGCCCCACTAATTGCCAATTGGGTTAAGGTGTTGAAGAAAGAAGAACAAGTAAATAAACCATGAGGAGTGGGAGTCCAAATTCTTCTATCAGCTTGAAGGGGGTCCAAGAACACCCCATTAAGTAAATTTATCAAAGACAATACACTATTTACCTCAATAACCATAATAGCCCTTCTCAAGCCTAAATCCCAACCAAACCCAAAGCTAGAATTAGAGGGAACCAGGAAAGTAGATATAGGTTCTTTTTTGTAACAAGATAAGGAAAACAAAGAGGGAAATTGATCCTTTAGAGGAAAATTTCCACCCATACTTGTTCCCAAAAATTTATACATTTCTTAGAATGCAAACCATACCTGATCTAAGGTAAGAATAAAGGAATGATGGTTTGGATGGCTTTCCACGGGGATGCTCTTGTAGTCCTTTCACTAATTATAGTGTCCCAACCGTTTGTCGTTGACCCATGAATGCTCACCAATACCTTAGCCCACAATTTTTCTTTCTCATTAGGAAATCTCCAAAACCACAAACCTAAAAGAGTATTATTTCATTTCCATACATTTCCAATTCCCAATCCCCCTAGCTTCTTACTCCTATACACCTCTTCCCACCTCACTCTACGATCCTTCTTATCCTCCCCCGGTTCCCAAAGAAAGTTTCTCATTAGGCTCGCCAACTTCCAAGCTATTACACTAGGAATTCTGAACACCAACAAGAAGTAAACAAGTAAATTAGCTAGAGTGGACTTAATTAAGGTAACCCTTCCTCCCATAGACATGTAATTTCATTTCAAGAAGCAAGTCTCTTTTCAAATCTCTCCACCACCAAGGACCAAAAGCTCACTTTCCCTGGGTTGTTACCTAACAGGAAACCTAGGTATTTTAGAAGCCAACTAGAGACCGCACACCCCAAAACCTCCATGCACTCAGTCATTTCCCTCTCTCCCATATTAACTCCAACTATGCAACTTTTTCCAAAGTTCACCTCTAAGTTTGACACTTGCTCAAAAGGTTGCACCACAGTTTTGATATTCCTAATTCAGCCTAACTCTCCTCCATCACAAAAGAGAAATGTATCATCATCAAACTATAGATGAATAATTAGTACTCCTTCCCTTCCAATTCTCCATCCCCTTATTAGATTCCTAGAGTCTTCTTTTGAAACCAATCTCCCCAACACATCTGCAACTATAATGAAAGGGAAATGAGAAAGAGGGTCTCATTGTCTAATACTCCTTAAGGCAGGAAAGAAATCCACTACTATCGCATTCATCAAAATCGAATATTAACAAGTCCTCAAACACTCCATCACCCATTTGCACCATCTACCTCCAAATCCAAAGCATTCCATCACCTCCTTTAGAAAGGCCCAGTCCACTGTATCGTAGGTCTTTTCTAGATCAAGTTTACACACCACTCCCCTCCTCCTAGATCTACTTACATCCTCTATGCATTCATTGGCTATCAAAATTTGATCCACAATTTTCCTCCCTTGCACAAAAGCCCCTTGGTTGGAGGAAATGATGGTAGGAAAAAATTAACTTAAGTTAGATCTCAAACCGTTACTAAATTCCATAGCTATTGACAAAAATAGAACCAGAGAAACAGTAGCACTCTAACTCGGTCGTTTCGCTAGTTACTCCTCTAGCCCTAACAATGAGCTCGTAACTGTTCATAAATGGAAGTGGTTTTCAACATCAAAAGTTAGATTGCTTTGGTCGGACCCTAATCTGAAGCTAAAAAAATTAGCTTTAAACAACAAAACTTGTAGCTTAGCTAAAGGTTGAAGACAAAAACACAAGTTTATTTGCAAATGACTCCTACTCTTGATTGAAGATTTGAGAATAAAAACCAATCTTTGTTTATAAAACTTCTACTCTGAAGTTGCAATCGTTAATGGCTTTTGACCCTCGCTAAAATTTAAAGAAGAGAGAGGTCTCTACGATCGTTAATGGCATCGGGGTTTAATTGAGTTTCTCTCAAACTCTTGAAGACTCGATTTGGGTTTCCTATTTATTTCACCTTTTCTTAATTTTTTAGTTTCAAAAATTTCATCATGTGAACATTACGGGAAAACTTGTCATTTAATTTTCCCACACATGTAAACCCAGTGCACATGCAAACTGTGTGATGTGTTCAATCATGAATGGAAGTGCATCCCAGCACACACCATTCCGGGTGCAGGTTATCTGTCTCCTTGCACTTCCATGTATAACTGGTTATCTATGTGTATCTCACATACACTATTTCCTTTGATCTGGTATCACCAGATTTCCCCTCAACATATATACATAGCAAATACATACAAAATGATACAAACTACAAGGTTTTGCACTCTACATGTTTGTATTTGTATTCTTTTCGAACTTATACAAGAAAATGGCATAAAATAAACCGTTTGAATAGCCAAAATAGTCAAATTTTGCTTCTTTACTTATTTTTTGTCCTCTAGATGCAGTTAAACTATTTGGATATATGAAAAGAATTTGTTTTACACATTTAACCTCTACGAACTTATACCAATTTTTTTATGAAAAAATATAAAGGGTAAATGTGAGTAAAATGGTTTATTAGTAGCACTAGCTCCAATAAAGAGACTCCAAAATCCTCTACTAGCAAACTCGATCTCCCAGAAAGACATGATACCAAAAAGGGCTTTCACTAATCAATACCTTGTAAACTTTAATGAGTTGGGATGGTATCATTGAGCAAGCAGAAGATCCTCTCCTCACTAACCAGTATGAAGATTTGAAGCCAACAAAAAAATCCATGTTTTTGTGTGACCATTGTCCCCAAACTTGTAGCTAGATCCCGTTCAACCAAAACAAGAAATGGTTCTTTAGTATTCCTTCGCCTTCCTCTCTGGAGGAGGAACCAAAGATACAAAGAACAGAAATCAAGGAAGAATAAACGAACTATGCAACCACAACCTGCCTCATGAGATTATCGTCAGATACTCTCCAGATTACTCTCTACTCGGTTTTGGAGAGAACAAAGAACAAGCATGTCTATTGGAAGGGATGCACTACAGAAGCAAGCTTCACTTGGGTCATTGTGGCTTTGCGAAGCCATGTAAAGACGTGAGAAGCCTTGCTTTCATAAATGAAAATTTGAGATACAGGCAGTAGCAGAATTGTGGGTTCAGACTTGAGAACTGGAAGCCAAAAGAATCAAGGCTTTTTTTTGGCATATGTATATGGTATAGCTTTTGAAGGTTGCTTGCCATATGTAACCTTCCGTCTAACCACCTTGTAGTTCACACTTCACACTTCACACTTCCACTTCCAGATCCAATCCTATGTTGGGTCTGGCTCCACCACACGACTAGATATATGGAGCCTGCAGAGTGGACGGGTAGCTTTAACCATAAACCTGGTACGTGAGACTCCTATGGACACATTCAATGACCATAAAGAAGTTCATATTTTCAATACAAGACTTGGCTACATTTATAACCTTACCTGACCTCATGTTAGCAAATAATTTTAAGTTTTTAACCCCACTGAAACATATTCTGGTGATTAAAGAGGGAGGCAACCTAATTGCACAAATACAAAACAAGAACGAAAAATCCGGATGACCATATTCATTGGCACTTGTTCAAAAGGCTCCTCAGAATCTCAGATTGTCACAATTATCTGTTGAGTCAACGTCTCCTTCAGGAGAGGGAGAGAGATGAGTCAAACTCATCTTCAAATATAAAGCCCTAATAGGTGGGAAATCTCAAGACTATATCCTCCTATGCCAACTGCCACAGTTAGCAAATCTCAAGACTATATCCTAATGTTCACCGCTGAAAACTTAAAAAATTATATCCATTTTCACCTACCAAGTACAAGTAGGGGTGTCGATGGACCAGTTTTGGGTTGGACCCCTTCCAAATCAAAATCAATTTGGACAGATTGGAAAGACCAATAAGACATTGAATTGGACCAGGCCAGACATAATGGTCCAAAGCATGGTTTTCAAAACGGGACTGGACCAGACGGTCAGACCGAAAAAACCGGGAACCAGTCGCCTGACCGGTTCTGTTTTCCCCAAAAACCAGATTTCCCCCCAAAACCGTTGATTTTGGTCAGCGAACCACTGAACCGGGTGGTTAACCGTTTGAACGGTTTTGACCGTTTTTTATTTTTTTTGAAATTTTTTTATTTTTTATTTTTCTGTCAGGACGGCCCAAGCGTTCAGTTCGAATGGTCCGACTGTTCGACCCGGTAACTAGATCATGGTCCAAAGCATACACTGGATTGGACCAGGTTGAACCAATATCCGGTCCATTGATAGAAGATAAGAATACTGGTGTCAATGGACCAGGTTTGGATTGGAACAAAGCTAGATTAAAAACCAATTTGAACAGATCGGATGGTCCAGACTCCAGACATTGAATTGGACCAACCCAAAATGGTCCAAAATATTCATCAGATTGGATTAGACCTGGACCGGATCAGATTGGTCCAATTGGCACCTCTAATTACAAGATCCTTCAGGTATCAAGACAGAAAATTTATTAGCCTACATATTACATTTATACTGTTGCAGAGCCATGAATGGGTAAAAAACCGCAATTCGTAATCAAGACATTGAATGCTGGGTTTCCACAAGGAAATAGTTGTAAGCAATTGCACTTCATGGCAGTCCTATCGATTCATTGATAGTTTAATACGTAACTTTACATTTTGGGTTAATATGTAAACATGACACCAGAACATAAAAATGACCAAGGACTGTCATTGTAAAGAAATGAAAAAAAAAAAAAAAAAAAACAGAAAAATTAGCTGGACAAATTGATTTCTACTGAATGTCTCACGGTTGGAATATAACATCCTCAAATGTCTTAGCAATAACAAAAATGAAGAAAATGAACGAACCAATATGGTAAATCATAAGAAAATATCTAATTCACATGTAATTGATTTCCTTACAAGATGGGCTTTTTGCTGGAAGAAAGTCTGGACAAAGTGGACCAATATGCTTGCCTCTTACTAGTTTAACCTTTCAAGTTTGACATTCATTGAGACACAGATAAAGATTAAAACTTATACAGAAGTTGCAATTTGGAGGTTGGCCTAGTAACAACATAGCATCCATATTCTATAAGTGACCCTGCACTTCTTCCCAGCATACTTATACTTATCTGGGGTGAAGAACTTCCAAGTCGAACTGAAATGGTATCGGCCCACTGCAAAAGTTGTATTTTTATATAAAAAATGATTTTCTTTAAAATAATTGTTGACATGCTATTTTGTTGGTTTATGTTATTCCCACTAAGTACAAGGAATTGAACAAGCCAGTCCATGCAACAATAGAGAGAGGAGGGGGAGAGAGGGAGAGAACCTCATTTTATAAGAAATTAGGTTGTTCACATTATTCCCAAAAAACAGTACAAGAAATTTGGCATGCCAGTCAATGCAACAAATCGGGTGTTCTAAGCAATAACTATGATAATATTTTCATGTAATTTCAATACTAAGTTTAGCTACCGATTGTAACTTTCTTTCAAAATGTACAATACAGCACAATCTAAGATGGATGCTAATTGTTGGCTCTAGTAAAAAGGGCAGAATGCCTAGAAGCTGGAGAAGGAAGATTACCAGGACATTTTGCCACGTTACCCCATTAACAATCCTTGTAACACAGTGATGGTAAAGAACAGGCAGATTTGCAAACATCTTGATGGGTCTTTTTTGTCTAAATGGCTCCATTCCCATTTCCTTTGCACAATCTGAAACTGGAAAAGTTACAAAAGAGTTTCTTGAGACTCCTATATTGGTAAGTCTATTTGTTGGTAAAGTTACATCAATAATTTCAGAAAAATGAGGTGTTGAGAAAAATACTGGTTAGGCAAGAAAAGATAGGATAACAGGTGCATTCTTGTGAATCCAAGGATATATCCCCAAGATGATGGAAAGCTGACTAAGGTGGTCTTTTTCATATGCATTTTAGACCATCAACTGCATTATTGAGTGATATGCAAGTTGAAGGTTAAGAGAGAGAGAGAGAGGTTGAAGAGAATGTCGATCAATAATAGTGAGTGAATACATAAGAGTTGTAACTTAACAGAAGATATGTTCCTTGGCAAAGAGAAATGGATAAACAAACTCACATCATCATCATCCAGGCCTTACCCAACTATATGGGATTAGCTACATGAATCCTGTCTACCATTCCACTCTGTTTAAGGCCACATCCATTGTTAAACTATTAGTGCTTAAATAATTTCTTACTACTTCAACCCATGTCCATTTTGGTCTACCCCTACTACTTCTAGCCCTTTCAACTTGCAACAGATCACTACTTATGAGTACTAAGGTCTTATATGCACGTGACCAGGTCTTATATGCATGTGACCAAACCATCTTAGTCAACTTTCTCTTATTATTGCCTATTGAAGCTGCTCCTAGGTTCCTTTGAATGACTTCATTTCAAACCCTATTCTTTCTAGTTTCCTCACTCATCCATCTCAGCATACGCATTTCTGAACACATTTTTTGAATAGATTTCTTGAATGTCCAACACTTTACTCCATACACATATCTGGTTTTACAATTGTTTTATAGAATTTTCCTTGTAATCTAAGTGGTATTGACCTATCACAAAATTCCAGATGCATCACTCTGTTTTTCCTATCTTGCTTTAATTATATGGGCTACATTCTTCTCAATCTTTCCCTTGTTTTGAATTATCAAACCAAGGTACCAGAAAAGTCACATTACCTCTTTGCCTTCAACCCTAAGTGTACCCTGATTTGCACTCCTATTAATATTAAATTTAAATATCATATATTCTATTTTTGTCCTACTTATTTTAAAACCTCATTTCTAAGGTATGTGTCCATGAATTTAATTTTGCATCTAATCCTTCATTAGTTTCATCAATTAAAACAATGCCATCAGCAAACAACATGCATCGTGGGACTTTCTCCTGAATATGTTTATTCAATTCATCTATATCCACTTTTTTTATTATCATTTATTGGTAAAAACAAACTCACACAGCACTCATAAAAAAAAAAAACAAACTCACACAGCCAACCCAAATGGGCAAATAGTTAAGATAATGGTTTGTTGAGTTGAAGATACAGATCACTTCTGTTATTGTCATTTGTTGATACAATGATAACAATAACCAACTTATGATGTGCATCCTATGCCAAGCACATATAATACTTCTTTATCGGCAAAAGGAGAATTTTATTCAATTAAAAGAATCAGTTACAGAATTACAGCAAGTAGAAGGCAGACATTGCACCACAAAGTGTTACAATAAAGCCCAGAAAAGCTGCTGCTTATGAACTCCCTGTTTGGCTAATGAATCAGCTATCCCATTTGCACTTCTCCTGATCCATGTGAATGAGGCATTGAGTTCCTTTGCTAGGCTTACTATCTCCCTTAGGGGATGTTTATAAATCCAGGGAGCGTTACCCCTTGAATTGGTCCATGATATCACTATTTTTGAGTCCCCTTCTATCTCCAAGTTCTTAAGATCTGCTTGCTTGGAAAGTTTTAACCCCTTTAGCAAAGCTAATAGTTCAGCCTTTAAAGAATCACCTTCCCCTAAAGGTCCCGAATGCATAGACAATACTTTGCTTGAGGAATCTCTGATCACACCACCAATGCCTGCCAGACCTGGGATTCCTACAGAGCTCCCATCAAAATTCAGCTTGACTTTGTTAAGACCTGGGGGCTTCCACTCCACCTTTCTTTCTTTCTTCTCAAAAGAGTGTGCCACTTCATTCCACACTCCTACTATATCAATAATTGAGAAACTTTGAAAAAGCTCAAGTGTTTTCACCTAGTGTGCAACTTTTATCTTTATAGCCTCCACTAGATCTTCTTTTGACCTATACTTCTCATTGAAAAGTCTTGCATTCCTTTCCTCCCATACTGATTTCCACATAACTGCTGCTCTTACTGATTTCCACATAACCCTTCCACTTTTTGCTGACTACCTTAGAAAGTTTGGGTTGAAGAGGCTTACTACATCCTAGGGAGTACTCCACCTGCAACCAAAGAGAGAACAAAAAGATTCCCAAACAAAGAGCACAAAAGGGCAACGGATCAGTAAATGGGGTAGGGATTCACCATCTATAGAGCGAAGAATGCACATATGAGGGGAGAGGCATTTACTTGGCCTCCTTTTTTGAAGCATGTCAAAGGTGTTTACCTTCTCAAGAAAAACCTTCCAGCACAGAGCTTGAATGTTTTGTGGGATGGACTTGCTCCAAACCTCTTTCACTGGGAAATTCTTAACCCTTACAAGAGTTTGCACGAGAGTATTAAAAGAAGCATAGGTAAAGGTGCCATCAAATAAAGTAGGCCAAACTCTAGTGTCCTCCAAAGATTGAACCAAGAAGGTTGACTTAAGTTTATCAAGCAAACAAACAAGGGACTCGCACTCATTATCCCTCAAGCCCCTTCTGAACCCAAACTCTAAACTCGGTCCAAAGTAAGAAAAAATTACAAAATTTGATATGGGTTGTAACTTGTAGTCAAAAACTGAATAAAGTTACGGGAAAAAAGAGTACCCTAGAACCACAACTCACATCAAACCTAATGAGATTAATAAAGATTGGATATACATCTTGTATTGCTTTCCACAGAGAGCTTGACAAAGATGTGGGGGCTACCTTTGCATCCCAGCCATTGTTCCATCTGCCCGTGAGTGCTTTCTATCACCTTGTGCCAAAGCCTGTCTCTTTCCAATGGAAACCTCCAAAGCCACTTTCCTAACAAAGAAGTATTCCTGTGAACCAAGTTCCCCAATCCTAAACCTCCCTTTTCCATTGCTTTGCTGACTTCTTCCCACTTTACTAGGTGATCGCTCTTTTCATCCCCAGGTTCCCAGAGAAAACCCCTCATAAGCTTTTCTAGTTGCCTTGCTACTCTAGTTGGAATTCTAAAGGTGGATAGGAAGTAAACTGGCAGGTTTGCTAGAGTTGCTCTAATCAAGGTTATTTTCCCACCTATGGATAAATAATTCCTCTTCCACAGTGCCAACTTCCTTGTAAACATCTCCACCATTTGCTTCCAAAATACTTCTGATCTTGGACTCCCTCCCAAAGGTAGCCCTATGTGCTCCAACAGCCATTGTTTAACCTCACACCCCAAAATCTCAGCTAGCTCTTTCAAACCTTCATCTTCCAAGTTAATCACTGCTATTCAATTTTTCCCCCAATTTATCTTCAACTTGAAAGTCGATTCGAAGGAACTAATGAGCTCATGCAGATGTCTTATACTCTCTTTATTACCTCCCTCATAGAATAAAATGATGTCATCTGCAAACTACAAATGTGAGAGTGTCACCTCAAGTCTTCCTATCCTCCATCCTCTAAAATGGTTTCTCTGATCAGCCTCCACGATCATCCTACTTAGAACATCAGTAATTAAAGTGAAAAGGAAAGGAGAAAGGGGATACCCTTGTCTCGACCCTCTTTTCACTAGAAAGTAATCTCTAGCCACACCATTAATCATGATTAAGTATTGCACTAAACTTAGACATCCCTTCATCCACATCCTCCATCACTCCCCTAACCCAATTCTCCCCATAATTTATAGAAGAAAAGACCAGTCCACAAAGTCATAGGCCTTCTCTAAGTCCAACATGCACACCAAGCCCCTCCCTCTCCTCCTCTTCTCTGATACACACTCATTTGCCACCAATGCCTAGTCTATAATTTGTCTCCCTTCAACAAAAGCACCTTGATGTTGTGAGATGACTAAAGGTAATACCTTTTCTGGTCTCCTAATTTTTCTATAATCTTGTAAAGGCTTCCCTTCCCACTAAGCTTATTGGTCTAAAATCCTTTGGACGTTTTGCCTCCTTGGGAATTAGGGCAATGAAAGTTGAATTTATACCTTGAGCAGTTTCCCCTTCAAAATAGAACTCATTGAAAATTTCCAATAAATTTCTTTTGATAAGATCCCAACACTCCTAATAAAAGGCCAAGGAAAAACCAACCGATCCAAGGGCTTTAGACCTTTCCATTGAAAATACTGCCTCTTTGATTTCTTCTAGAGAAAACTCAACCTCTAAGGCTGCAGCCATAGCTCCAAGCACTCTATTTCCACTAAACATCTTGGGAGAAAGGTCTCCTCTACCCTTGACTCTAGTAGATGCTCTTAAAGTGATCTACGAAAATCATAATGATCTCCTCCTCCCCAGTTATCTCATGGCCAATTTGATTCTTTCTTCTTCTCCTATTGCCTAAAGAATGAAAAAATTTTGTATTGCCAACCCCTCCAAGAGCCACTTGCATCTAGATTTTTGCCTCCAAGAAATTTCTTCCTTCTTAAGGACCTCTTCTAACTTTAACCTCCAACTTTCCTCTCTTTCCTCACTACTCATAGTTCGAAGAGCTTCTTTCTTATCTACCTCAATCAGTGAAGTCGTTTTTTCTTTGGTCTCCTCCACTTTACCAAAAATATCCTTGTTCCACGTCTTTATTTTTCTCTTTTAAACCCTTAAGTTTCCTCAAGAAGCTAACCCCTTTCTTCGAGCCTCTACTTCTTATCTCTTGCCACCAACATTTAAATCATTCTACAAAGGTAGGATCTTCCAGCCACATGTTTTCAAACCTAAATGGTAAGGGGCCACCAATTGAAGTTTCTTGTGCTAGGCAAATAGGACAATGATCTAAAGTCACTCTGACCAAAGCTCGTAAAATTAAATCCTCCCACAACTTCCCAATCCACCGAAAAGAGGAATATGTCTAGGTTAGATCAAATCAGGAAGTTTTGAAACTTTGACCAAGTAAAGTCAGCTTATAACAATGGTATCTCTTTTAGTTCAAATAAATCCACATATTCATTGAATTTCGTCATACATGTGGTGATTCTCTAGCTTGGGTTGTTTGTCTCCATTGAAAACCAGATTATATTGAAATCACTACCCAAACACCATGGTCCCTCCCACAAGCCTCTAACTGCACTCAACTCTTCCCATAAATGGATCCTATCTTTATAGGAGTTTGGACCATAAACATTTGTTAATGACAAATCCTTATTGTCAATCAGCCTTCTAAATTTAATTGAGACCGAGAACTGCCCTACTAGCTCTTCCAAACCCACCAACTCTTTATTCTCCCAAATGGTGAGAATACCTCCAAAGGCTCCCCATGAAGGTACAAAAACCCAGCTTAAACCCTTACACCCCAGATACTCCTGATCCATCTCCTGTCTATCTCCTGAAGTTTTGTTTCTTGCAATAACACAACATCTAGTTTTTCCTTCCTAAGGGCTTCTCTTATTAATCGTCTCTTCTTTGCACTCCCTAAAGCTCACATTCCAGCTTATAATCTTCATACCTACATCAACATTGAACCCACACTTTAGAACCGTAACCAACAGCCTTCCCCTCTTCTACCCTTCCTTCTACTCTCTTCCCTATCATGGTCTATCTTACTAATTACCTTTTCCACTTTGCTCTTCTTCCTTTTCTTGCCTTTTTTTCTTCCTTGTATACACCATCACACCGAAGGGCTTCTCTAATGTGACTCTTTTTCTTTTTCCTCTTAGGCAACTCCCTTAATTTCTCTGGTCTCTTTCTAACTTCCCTTTTCCCTCCTCAAAACTAGAGTAGGAACTCTCTCTTTCTTGTTTTCCTCTCTCTGTACCCAACTCCAGAACTTTCTCTTTTACTCCTATCCCCCCCATTTCCTTTGATTCCAAATCACCTTCAAGTTCTGTGTCAAAGATATTTTCAATATCCATTGGCTTCTAACTTGTACTTGGTTCTGCAAACACTACCTTCTCCTTTTCTTTTTGGCTCCAATAAAGTCAGATTCTCTGTACCCAACTCCAGAACTTTCTCTTTCACCCCTATCTCCCCCATTTCCTATGATTCCATTACACATTTACACCTCCAAGCTTTGTGGCAAAGAGATTTCAGCATCCACTGGCTTCTGAGTTATGGTTGGTTCTGCAAGCACAGGGAAGGACACAAACTACAGTATTAGCAATGGTTTTCGAGGGACCAAAAGGACCACCACAAACCGAAGAAAACACTAAGGGGTAGAAAACTCCATGTTCATAACTTTCACAGGCCACACCCAATACAAACTCAGGATGGCCAATCCTGTGAAGATGAAGGCTGTGCAGCTACATGGGGAAGGGGATATTGTGTTCCTGTGCTCTACGCCAAGTTACAACCTAGGCCCTGAAAGATGTGTTCTGCCCTCTATTTCAATGTAAGATTACCTAAATCCTCTCCCTTGGCCATCAGCAAAGTCACTTCGCAATCAGTAGAAGCCTCACCAGACCCATACTCCATCAACAGGATCGTTTCGTTTGAAGAATCTTAGCAAACAGTATTTTCGTGCTCAACTCATCATCCCCCAACCTCCTGCAGGCCTTACTCAAGTCTAGACTCCCTATACTCGACGGTTGGTCAATTTCTTCATCCCCTTCGAAAATGTCACTGTCTGCATCTAACTCCTCTTCATCTTCTTCTGTAATCGGCCTCCAGACTAGGGTAGTGGCCATCCGTCCAGCTGAACCCTGTGAGAACCCAACTGGTCTCTGAACTTTCTCCATCGCCGTTGTCGTCTTCAGTCGGGTGTGAGATTCAGTTGATGGAGACAATGATAGATCCAAATTCTCGTCCCCAATCGACTCAAGAACAAGGCACGTGACTTTTTAAAGAGATGCGCCTTATAAAAAGAACTCAAACCCAGCCCTCTTGTTGAACCGGGTCAGGTTAGCTCAACCCTTTTCTCAAGCCACCTTTCAACCTACCTGTGGTACAAAGTATGAATAGTTTCAGAAGCTGAAGCATCTTTTTAGGGTGGGTGGAGGAAGGAAGAAGAAGGTAGTGATGTGGAAGGCAGGGACACATGTAGCAGTGAAGAAATCCATAATAAGCACCACATGGAGGCTGGGTGATCAAAAATAGAGCTCGATTAATATCTTAAAAAGGAAGCCCAAATGTTGCTTGTGAAGAAAGGGGGCCAGCAGGTCTCTGTTAAAAATGGGAAGGAAATTTCACTTACACAAAATCGGATGGATGAGAGAAAATACTTTACAGTAGAGTTAGTGTCAAGAAGGGCTCTCATGTCTAACAAGGTTTATGATGTGGGTCTTAAAATAGCGGAATTTTCAAATTCTAAATGCCAAGCACATATAATCAACTAAAAATATTTTGTCAAATCAAATAAATGTGTGAATAAAGGACATTGTAATTCCTAGCGGTTTCAATTTGACATAGAAAGGAGAATAATGAAAATAATCAAATTCAGCATTTAATTTTCACAATTCATCAGGATATTCATTTAAAGGAGTAGCCAGGAAGCAGCTTACCTAAATTTCAGAATTTGATCAAGATAATGAAAATAGTTACTCAGTTTCATTATCTTGTTCATCCATCTCCTCAAGGATAACATACTTTGCAGCTGCGTTGGGAGTGAGCAACTTTGCTTCATCATTTTCACTGGTGTGGCTCTTGTGTAGCTTTTTGTATCTGAAAAATAGCAACATATAGAAACATATTAGATAAATTCAAATATCCTCTTGGTTAGCAGATGTCCCAGAGAAATCATCCAGATGCAAGGTTAACCCATAACTCTTACATGTCCAAGTAATTATCAGCATGCCTGGGTTAGCCAACAGTATAGTCATGCTCCATTTAACTCTTTATATTATAGATTTTCAATGTACAACCATAGTTTGTTCTATCACTTAGAACACTTATATACTGGTTTACAACATACAGAGTTGTGTCAACTAAATCGTTTCTTTTCTTCTTTTCGAAAGGTAAAGTATGATTTGTGTTGAGTAAATCTTCAGAATTCAAATTCTAGTGATTTCAGATCAACTGCTTTGAATGCCAGCAATAAGGGCATTTTTCCCCCTTTCTGTTTTCTGGAGGGGGCTGATAAGCATCAAAATTGGAAGAAGGAAAAAAGAAAAAAAAAAAAAAGTGACCTAAGAATTAACTGGGTAATCCTATCATTTTTTTATCTGGTCCTTTTACACTGGTGAAATCTTCATGATAAGACTACCATAATTTATATATATATATATATCAGTTTGTTCAAAATTATGAAATAGTGTTTACAAGTTTCAAAATTTTCTGGATTCAATGGCACCTGGAGCTTCAAATGCCACTGGCCTATGCATCATTAGAAATGGAGTGTAAATTATTGCAACTTTGTTAATCAATTACAAGGTAAATTAACTTCCTCCATAGTCCTTCAAAAGAACAAAGAAAGCATCATCCTAATGGAGAACAAATCTGGAAAGGTATTACAAGAGATGACTTGAAAAAATTAAATAAGGATAATTATTCATGTGCTCAAAATTTAAGGATGGATATGGAATTAAACAGAAAGTAATAGCCAAACAGGATTTATGTAGCCAACCCCATATAGTTGGTATAAGGCTTAGATGATGATGATCCTTTATCTCGATGCATGGTATGGAAACATGTAACTATGGGGATCCTTAATATCCAAGATGAAATCACTCATCCAATTGTCATGTTTCCTTGTTCAACTAGGATTTTTTTTTCGAGTATCCAGTAAACAGAATAAGTTCCATTGATTAGATAACTGAAAAACACATGAATGATTGAGGTCACTTTTGATCACTACAAGGAAAAGGCTAACATCACAAGTTATATTTTCTAGAATTTTAGAAATCTGGATTAAGCCCTAACTTTGGTCAAAGGGTGACTCTTTTCACCATTGCATTTTAATTTACAGTTCCTAATATCACATTAGTACATACCATCAGAATCTGTTGGTTATATTAATTAAAAAAGTGAATAAGTAAAGAGAAAATAGTTAGATTATTTGATAAATTAAAAGGTAAACTGACTGCTTACTGATTCTGCCAAACAGAGCAGCCCAGCCAATTCCAGGGACCTAAGTTTAGACATTATAGTATTTTACACTGTCGAATTAACTTCAAAATAGTATCAACAATAATCTAGGAGTCTATAACAACTTCCAAGATGAAGAGAAAATGTTTTTACTGGTTGAAAAATCAAAGCCATTAAGTAGTTACAACTTACTTGTACCAGTTGAATAAACTGACACCAACCATGATTATAAGCAGTCCAATCCCTTTCAACCAGGTAAATTGATCATGGAAGTAAAACACTGCCACCTGACATGCATTAATAGGAAAATTGAAAGATTCAGTTCCCATCAAAGTGATAGCGTCTTAGGTAGTTACAAACCCATCGAAAGGCATGAGTCTTCACCAAATCAATCCAGTCATTGAACAGAAAGCAGTGATTGATATAAGAAAATAAGTACCAAAATGATCAATCATCAATTCTCAAAAGTTCTAGAAGGCATTTAATTTTTTTATAGTAAAACTAAAATTTCACTATGGCCACTGTTAACCATGGTTCTTTCACAGTCAGAGAGCATGACCAATTAGGCCTTCACTGTAACAATGAGAAAGATGAGAGTAAGGTGGAAACATTTCATATACAGAAGAGGCTGTTAGGATGCTCCCTAAACTACCATGAGAGCACCTACTCATTGGGATCACAATTAAACTCATCCTCAGGCAAATATTGCAAAAGAGAAACATTTTTTAGGAACTACAATCAGAAATCTCATAATAAACTCAAAACCAATAAGAACAGCTGATTTAGGGGCACCAGACCATTGGATTCTAGGGAAAGGGTGAGTAGGGGGATATCTGCTTCAGTTAAATGGGACAGTCAGAGAGCAGGACCAACTAATAACAAAAATGACCCCCATACACAACTGATAACAAAAGCCTTCCAAAGTATGAAGGAATTCATCGAATCTGAGAAAAGACTGGGAAAGGCCCAGCCCAAATCGTATGAGCAAAAATGGATCCAGTGGGAACCACCTGAGGAAAGTGTTGTCAAAATAAACTTTGATGCTTCTAAAGATGAGGAGAACAACTGTGCTTTCAGATGCATTGCTAGGGACTTCAAAGGGAGAATTAAAAAACTAAAGGCCGGGCCCATTGGGATTACATCAATAACAGTGGCTCAGATGAGAGTGTGCTTGGAAGCTCACAAATTGGCAGGTGAGATAGGAGCGAGAAGGGTGATTACGAAGGAGATTCAAAGATAACAATCAATGCCATCAGGGGAACCTCATCAACGACATGGAGATGCCAGCACATGGCAGATGAATGCAAGAAGATTGCAAGGGAGGACAGCTTTGAGATCGTGTACAACCACATTCACAGGAACCACGCTGTTGACTGTATGGAAAATGAGGGTCATAGAGGAGTTTTTACAGATAATGGTGATTTGTCGGGTAGCCTCAACTATATTGTAATGTTAGATGCTTTAGGGTACCCTTTTCAATCCAGGGCTCTTGGTGCACAGCTGAGGTCTAGGTGTTTGTTTGAGCTGTAACCTAGCTTTGGGATTGGTTCTCTGTATTCTAGCTCTGATTTTGGAGCTCCTCTGTAATTTCTGTTTGCCTTAATAAATTACCTTACCTTTTTTCAAAACAAGGGTACCTGTTTCCTCGTTGGGTTTAAGGTCATCACATCTCTATCAAAAAAATCCCTGAGGAAAGCAGAGTGACAAGGGATAGATTTCTGAAGCCCTCTCCTTGTGGTCCTTGTGGTTTCCATCTCAAAGAATTGGATCTAACACATCCACATAGAGCAGGGGTTTGCCTGAAGCTTTTCCCTTTGTGAAACACACACACACACAGTAGTCATAAGTTGATGATACGAAGTCTTGCTTGTGTAAGAAAACTAATAGGATTTGGTAGAAAAACATATTATCTTGAATGGATGCACATGGTGCCTCTTGCTGACAACAAAACAGTGAACAGTATTATGTTATGGCAAAAAAGGCAGAGGCCATTCTTGTACTGAAACGGAAATTGAAGTGAATATAAGATGTATCTAAGAAACTGTTCTGAATCTTCTGATAGGAAAATGGGTGAACAATTTTCCAAAGTAAATATCGCCTTTTTAATATGCTCAGAAATGAAATTTCCCCATTGGTCCACAAGCATGCACCTGGCATAGAATGCATGCTCAAAATTGGTCAAATAACCAAGTGACCAATAATTCACGCTCACATGGTTGGAGTAACACTTGGCCTCAAAAACAAGCTGATCACCTAAACAGTGCCTTTACCTGCACTAAAATAATCATCTTTTGCTAATTTTCTGTTACCACTTATAACTGTGGCAAAACTTGCACACCTACCAAAAGGTCCAAAACTAATTCTCTTTTATCAACAGCTGGCACAAAAGATACTCTTATTACAACTCTCACTTCATGTTATTTTTAAATTACAAGTTCTTTTTCGAAAGTAATGCAAAAGGAAAAAGAAAAGAGGCATAAGATTCCTGGGAAAGTCATATTGAGTTTTCTGTTGAGTTGATGAAACAGGCTGAAATAAAACTCAAAATCATCAGACATAGAAGCCTGATAAACACCCACCAAACCATTCTTTCCACCCTCTCAGCTCTAACAATATAGCAACATGCCATTATTTTTTTTTTTTTATCAATAAACAACATGCCATTATGTTACTGCACAAATTTGCAGTACTTCTGTTCCAACAAAACTAAATATAAACAGGGAGTTCTACAAGATTTGATTGATGTATAAGATATGTAATCATACAAAGAAAAGAATAGATGACAAGACCTTACCAGAATAGTAACAGCTTCCTTGACAACTCCTGCTATTGTTACAGTTACTGCACTTGTTGCTGACACAAGAACATATTCTGTTAAAACCTACAAAAGGAAGAAAAGAAAATCAATATATATTACGCCAAAAATTAACACAAAATAAGCTGTATCAATTATGAGACAACATTGTGAAAGAATTATATAAACGCAGAATCACTTATCAAGAACTACAGTGTTTATTAATGGCTTGTCTGAAGTAGCATAATAACAGATACACATGTCAGATTTATCATTCCATTAGTAGAGAACAGTACAAAACCAAACTATTACCATGAAAAAAGCCAGGGTTCCACCAAGAAGCATTAGCAAGCTACTCTGTAGAACATGCCACGAACTATTAAAGTAATTGTTCCTTCTGAATTCTTGCCATGGGTCCATTATTAGAGAGAGCAAAGCAGTTACCACAGCCATTACTGGAGTCAGATAGCTCATCAAAGTAATGGGATCCTTTAAACCTGAAGCAATTCAAATAACATAATCCAGAAAAGTTTTCAGTAGTACAAAATAAAATAATCAACACCACCACTCATAGACATAATGACATAGATCACATCATTCACAAAATCTTTGAAAGAAGAAAGGAGAAATATGTTTAGGCAATACTATGTCTGGATAAAATTGATGAATCCATTAGACATGCATAAATTTCATGCACACAGACACAGGCATGAATATACTAATCATTTATTTAGATTTTAGAATTTGGTCTCAACCAAAATGGCATATTCAAGAAGTTTAGTGCTTACCATAGTCTTCTTTCTTCATGTTGATTTTGAGTCAGTAATGAAAAGAAACAAACCAAAATGTCAGGTAAGACAGCCAAAAAAAGCAAACTAATAAAAAGAAACAAGAAAAGAAATTTGAAATAACTTAATACCAGATCAAAAAATTAACCCTAGAATCTAGAAATCATTGGCATGTTTTTGGTAATAGAAACACGATAAAGACATACCTGCAAAAGAATCTGTGTCATGGACCAGCGAAACCCAGACATAACAGCAGCCAGCATAACGAAAATAAAACCCCAAATCTCAAATTCTGTCTCTTTTGCAACTGGTAGAAGGATTCAGATCGGTCATGTAACATAATACAAAGAGTTGTAAGGATAAACTTGCAAATGAAGAAAAAGAAGTCATCATCTAGTTAAGGCATCCAATTACATAGAAATCGAGAGCTGCATTAATAGAAAATGAACTTTGCAGATCCTAGAGTGGGATAGTGATGGTTTTTTGTTTTTTCCCCTTTTTGTGGGGTGAGGAGGGGGAGCAAAGAGACTCTTTTGTCTTCTTACATATCGTACACCTATTCCCTCGTGTACATATTTTCCTACATTTATTAATATATATATATATGTACCAATCACCTTTTTTCAACAGAGTCAGAAAAAGGAGGAGAGGAGAAGGACGGAACAGAAAATAAACCCCACAAAGCCAGCCACAACCCATTACATAAAGCTTCAGGACAAATAACAACAACAACAAAACATTCTACAAGATATAGAAACAAAAAGAAAAACCATAGCCAATGCCACCACCAAGGCAGCAAAAGTCAACCAAACCAAAAGAACCCACCCCTCATTACAACCAAAGAAAGGCCCTTGCCCACACCTACATAGCAAAACATCCTAAATAATGCTATTTGAATACTTTTTTGTATTATTATTTATTATTATGTCAGAAGATAATTTTTTTCTAATGGACTAAAAAAGGGCATGAAAGGAGACAAAGGGATTCCCTTTTCCCACATGACGGAGGTGACCTAGAGTGATACTTGACCATGTGAACAAGTGGTGAGGTCAAAAAACACATAGACCTCTTTGATTGCACTAGCTCAGGAGCCACATGAAAAAGCCTCTCCTGGCATGAAGCTCAGCTTGTTTGGTCAAATCAGGCTGCATGGCCTCTTAATTCTACCAACAAATTTAAATAGAATTAATAAAAACATGGTACAAGAAAACAAGAAAAGAAGAGCAGAGAGATAAAGAGGTACCTGTTAATAAAATTCCAACAGAGATGATTAATATGATACCTAGAAGTTTAATGCTCGGGGTCTCCAACCTTCCAAATGAAATTGCAATATTATAAAGCAAGAAGCTAAATAAAACTGTCTCACATAAATGACAAAAACATCGACCAAACTCAAGGTTATGCTAGTATCTAAATAGTCAGATTGAAACCATTTTATTTGTCCTTAAAAAAGAAAGAGTTTTCACAACATAAAGCTCATTAGGGTAGATATTTATTATCTTCAGAGGATGGAGACATAAAATCATCTACAACTTCAAGACAATAAATACCATCAAGATAATCCTTCCAATTTGTAGAGAGACAAGGCCGAATGGGCCCTAGCCCATTAATGTCTTATTTATTAGTTCTTTCTTGTTATTTGTTCTTAATGGGCCTTTAACTCTTGTTTATGTTTTCTAAGCATGCTGATGATGTGGACGTGCGCACTTAAGGGCAGACTTGTAAATTATGTAACTTGATTAGTGTGGGGAAAAGAGGAGATTATCAAACTCCTTCTTTCTCCTTTCTTCTCCATCCTTCTTCTTCTTCTTGCTATCTTCTTCTTCTTCTCTACTTCTTTTGCTATAATCTGAATTATCCTTCCTTTTTTTTATTGGTCTGAATTACGTCTTGGTATCAAAGCAGTCCTTCCTTCGGTTTTACCCTTTTTTCTTTTCTTTTCCCATACACTTTTTTTTCTAATCGAAAGGTGTATGGAGAGATAAATTGCTGATTATTCAAAGAACTCGTTTGCCTAGTTGGTAGAGGATTTGGAGAGTCGGAATTTGGCTATAGATTGCCAAGAAAGTGGGACTGCAGGTTTTTTACCCAAAACCCTAGCCAACTAGAGAGTTTCAAGTTACAGGATAAAGAGACTGTTTGGGTGTGGCGCTCAAGGCTTGGCTTAGAGGGTTCCTTTTTATCTCCAAAAGTGGGTGGTTGTAGTTGGAAGTGGTTTGGATAGCTCTGGTTTGAGAGACTACATCTTCTCTCTTTCTCCCTGAAGGCCAGGTACAGTGAAACCCTAGTTTTGGGGGTTTTTTTTTTGGAAAAAGGTAAAGTAATTTTATTCAATGAGAAAGAAAATTACAACACGACTTAGGCCAACTAGATCTTCCTAGTCCCAAAACATATTACAAGAACGAACATCCATGATTTAGTACAAAGGAGAGAAACATTCTGACTTTTAAACTCCTCATTCACCGACACCCAGGAGCAAATCTGTTATGGGCCCGGGCGTAGGATCTCATCACGGGTCGGTCCACGGGGAGAACCTCTAGTTTCCCCTTGCCCCTCCCTTTGCGTGCTAACCCTATCGTGGCGACCTAAGGGGTGATTTGTCCAAGAGATCACCCTAACTCTCCTTTACTCTTCTCTTT